CTCTCTCAGCCCACATTTTCACAACCCCGGGCTTTTTAGTCATTGGAAAGATTATCAGACTTTCCATACAGTTTTTATCAGAGGCGGCAATGGGGGCGCACTGAATGAGGAAATCAGCGAACACGCACGCGCAGACTCACACAGACACGGGCGCACGTAGTTAGAGCCACCGTGCGCGGAATGCTGGATACGTAACAACCACATTCGCGCGCCCACAAAAGGACAAGCCGACGCGAAACATGGCGTTTCTTTGAAGTCCCACGGCAGCACCACACAATAAAACAAAACCAATTTTGTACAAGTGCGACACAGTTTGTTATTGTGGTGCCAATGCGAAGAATGGCGCGGTCCACACGCCTCTTCGTGGCCTGGCGGAATGGAGTGTTAACCTCAGTTGAGCAACAAACAACTTTAGGTCTCCTTTATCTCGTAAATAAAAATAATAAAGAGCAAGCACGTTTGGGCAAGGCATAACCAAGTTTTCGAGCTAGATTAAATTACGACACAACATTCTCATGCGATTGGCAGACCATCCGCGGTTCCGTGGGAGGACATTTTTAAGTGCCCGTGTAAAGTGGGCATTTTATAGTTTCTTTGGTGAAGTGGTACTTCCTTCCAGGTGAGGCAGCCGAACCGGCGGCAGCGGGGCTCAGCCACCGTTTGACGAGCTGCCGGCGCCAAAGACGCCTCGGCTTATCACCAGACCAAACGGAAAATTGGATGAAGCCGTGGCCTGCTTTTGCGGCTGTCCGGCTGCGGGGCCACTGGGCCCACGCAGGGCTCGGGCGGAGGGACGGCCAATCCACGGGTAGAAAGTCAGCCCGTCTGCAAACAATAGCCAGCCTCGCCGATGTCGGCCGCCTCCACCCTCGCCAAAAAAAAACATCAACCAACGACGACACATGACTCGTCTAGGCACGCAGCCTCCTCCACGGCCTTCGATAAATCCGGAGAGGGCCTCGTAAAAAAATGGTCATAAACGAAAAAGAGGATGAGGGCCTGCTCGAAGATCGTTGGGCCTCATGTCAACAGCCCTCCGCAAGGCTGCGGGGCTGCAGCGCTGAGCAGTCAAAACAATAATATCCGGCCCCACAGCCCCGGCCCCGCCCCCTCACCCCTGCATGCTAATTTATTTGAACTGCGCCTGCAGGCATGCGAGGGCGGTGTGGGGGGTGAGGTGGGTGGAGGTCCGATACGGGGATAATTTGCGCGTGAATGAACCCCGATGGGCTCGCCCGGCTGGGCCAGGCGGGGGGTCGCTAGCTGGCGGCGCAGCGGCAGCGGTGTGCTCCGCGGAGCACAAGGCAAAGCTGCCCCCTCTGTTTGCACGTCGCTTGAAAACGGCCCTCCCATCACCGCATCATCCAGGGCGAGGGGCTGGGGAGGGAAAGGGGCAGCCCGGGGCATCCTGAAACACTATCTGGCCCCAACAATCAATCCCTGCAGGGCTCTTGCTTCCACGGTCATGGCATCCAGCGGCCTCCAGCGGCCTCCAGCCCGGGAGGCAGGTGGTGCCTTTGGAATGCGGCGCTAATATCGTCTCCCTCATTTCTCTTCTGCTGCGACACGCGGCCCGCCCCGGGCTCGGCGCTCTGCTCGCTCACTAACTTCTACAGGCGGCAGACGGAGCGTTAGGGTTATGCGGCGACTGTGTCGCCTTCCTGCAAATCTTCGTGAGGATTGGAATCTTTTACGCATGAGGACATATTACTGATCATCAATGCGAGCAATTATTCACCACGTGTTGCTTTGTTCTTTTGTTTCGTATCTTTCAGATTTGCATTATGGTCACTTAATCGAATGAAACATTCTGGAAAATATGATGTCAGCCAAAAAGGCGTTTCAATGAACTGAGTTAAAAAATTCAATGTCAAATTTTTAAAAGCGGGAGGAGGATGAATTTTTCTAGACATATTTATTGGAAATTCAAATACCCTCTGGGTAACAGTGTCAACATCGTTTATTGCTGATGAAATTATGCGGCCACTTCGATCATACTTGTGTTTGCACTGCCTATTTCTCTGGGTGAGCAGACGCCCAAAAGATCGGGCCGGAATACATCTCCGTCAAGTCAGGTTCGGATCAGCAGGCCACCTCGGGCTCTTCCGCCGGACAGGTCCGCTGGTTCGGTAAGACAAGCCTCACGCCCGCCGGGGGGCAGCTCATGGGGCGTCATCATGGGGGCTCATGGGAGCAGGCAGCGTGTGGCCATGGCCATGGCCCAGCCATGGCGCGGCCGCAGGCAACAGGCGCTTCTCCAGTGACTCGGCAGGAGGCGCCATCTAGCGGCGGCCGCCTCCAGCGTTCGCTCCAGTAGCGTGCCGCTAGTTGCGCGGTCTGCCGAGTGGGGGCGCCACCGCCAGCGCGCAGCCGCCTGGGAAGCGCGCACAGCAGGTGCCTGGCCAGATGAAGTGACTAATTCGATTCACTTCTTCGTGCAGATGCTAGGGAGTGCGACCGAGTACCACTGGAGTCGGCGGGGCGCCCTGGTCTGTGCACTAGCGGACCGTGACCGAGAGAGCACTGGAACATGAACGCAGCGCCCCGGGGGCCTCGAAGCAGGTGCCGATCACGTCAAAACAAACGACACCAGCGCAGCCGGGAGATCTATTTTCAATTTCGATTCTCCGTTTGGATTTCCACCGGTACCTGCTGCACGCATGCGGTGTCTCGTGGAGCCGGAAGGTTCAACAGGGGCGGAGGCTGCAGCTTCCCCGTCGAGCGAAGCACTGAACGCCGCGGGTGGTGGAGGGCACTCCATCCGCCGCGTCTCCGCGGTGCGGGGCGCCCTCGAATTTGCATACATAGTGGAGATGCGTTTATGACTCGACACTCGACAGTTAGCTCGTCTCATTAGCGCTCTGTCCCCGCGCTGGCGAGGCAGTGGGGCGGCCCAGGCCGGCCTGTGCGATAACAATTCCGGCTGAGCCTGGAACTCGAACCGGCCGGAGAAAGTGCCATACTTCTGACAGATCCACGCGCGCCAAAAGCGATTGACTATTTTGGCTGTGACGCGGTTCCGTCCACTGGAACAGTGTTACAGGACGGCGTGCCAGCTCTGGTATCCGCTCAAGATCTGAAGCTTTTGGTCGAGTCGTTTCCAATATAAGCAATCGTCGATCTGGCCCGCCTCATGCGGTGTACCGGGGCGGCCGGGCTTTGGCTGGGCTGCCCGGCCGGCAGGAGCAGGGTCAGGGTCCGCGACCACGCGCCTGGTTCACACGCATTGAACCGGCCCGCATTCCCATACTAAAACACGGGATTAATCACAGAGCTAGTTCCTGCAGACACCGAGGCCACAAGCCAATTATTCGCTTTATGTTGCACTTCATTGTATTTAAACTAGAGAAAATCAACTGTGGTCTAGATTTAGCGTTTTATCACTTTCATACTCCACGGTTTCAAAGTGGCACTGATTTGCAATGTTGGACCGAAATGCATATTCATTTACAGTTTGAGAAAAAAAGCAACTTTATTTCTCCAAAACAACTGTCTTTAAAATCTGCAACAATTGTCGCAGCACAATAGGCGGAATTCACACACACACACTACGGTTTCCTTAGAAAGCTTTTTCTCACTCAGGCAAATTTGCTTTCCGCGCGGGGAACTTGCCCAGACAGAATTTCCCGAAAACTCCTCCACGGGGCCGCCAGTTGCCGCGCCGCGATGTGGCACTTCCATGTTACATGGCTGCGCGCGTGTACACGGCGGTGTGGTGCGTCGAGGTGCGTCGCGGAGCTTGAAGGTGCCTCTCGGTGCTTCGTGAACTTGGCCCAGGACTTGCAGCGCCACCGGCCGTGTTGGACGCCACACAGCCAACACGAACAAACAAACAAAAATACGGTGCCCTGCTCCTTATGTGCCTTTCTCTTGCGCACCGTGTTTGCGGAGCGTAACCGCCGCTTGCAGCGCAGGCAGCGCGTCCACACAGTAGCAGCAGCGCGCTGGCGCCAAAAGTAGCCTAGACAAGCGGTGCACGCGCAGCACGACAACGGCCCGGCCGCCGCCCGCAAATCCTGCAGCGCTGGATATGCAGCGCCAAATGAGTGGCTCCGTTTCCTGCCACTAATTGAGCGACGACAAGGCGGTGCAGGGCAGCCGGAAGGCGAGTCCGATATGAATGGTCTCGTGCGTGGTGCGTGCCCGTCGTTGCGGACGATTTGTGGAATCGGCAGAGCGTCACGTTTTCTACGATGACGGTCTCGCGAGGAGGCGGAATGAAAAAAAAAATAGCTACTTTCTTTTCAATAAATCTGCTCAACAAAGACTATTAATAGTGGCGGGTCCGACTTGAAACAGGAATGCCCTAGGCGGGAACCGGTCGCGCGGCGCCGCTTGCCAAACGGCAGCGCGTCGGTCGCGCGTCACCGACCGTTCGCCAGTGCGATTCTGGGCGTCTGGTGGGCCGGGCGGACAGCGCGGCCCTTGTTCGAGTGGAAGCAGTGCGGTCCTGGCGGTGAACTGGCATCGCACTGCAGCGGCACTGACACGCACGCACCTACACACACACACACACACACACATGAAAACACACACACGCAAACACACTCGCACGCATGCACACGTTGATGACAACGCACTGTGCCCAGCGTGGCCTTGGGCACACAGCCACTTTGGATATACGGTCACTCATCGGACGCGTCCAAATGGATGGCCAAACAGTTGCACTGCGATATCGACTGGATGGCCAAGGCCGCCAAGGCCGCCGCCTGATGCTTTTAGCGAGCGGCTTTCGGGGGACAAACTCGCCGGAGGGCGTGTCAATATTTACGAGAAAAATAACAAAAAAGTCAATCAAACTTTGTGTTTGTTGTTTTGCTGGCGCGAGTAATGAGAAGACGGCGCGGAAGGGGGAGGCAGCGGTGGGAATCGGCGGCTGTCATCGGGATCACGCAGGACGACGTCGACGACGACGTCGACGGGGAGGGGAGGGCGGCGGTGGGGGCGAGGATGCGACGCCGCGGCCGCACCGGGCCACCGCGCCCCGCCAGTCACTCATAGGCGTCCGCGAAATACACGCCACCCTTGACGACGCCGATTGCGAGACCGCGTGATTGACAGAATGCTGGCCGGCGTGCTGTGGGGCCTGGGGGCGCTGGTCGTGCTGCAGGTCATCTGGACGCTGCGGAACCGGCGCCTGCTCAAGCTGTGCAACCAGATTCCGGGGCCCAGCTGGTTCCCCGTCATCGGCAACTTCTTCAGCATTTTGGCGTGCAATTTCGGTGAGTGGAGTGTGCGGGGGCGCGCCATGGCACCTGGTGCGGGGGTGTCTCGTGTGTTCCTCCGCCAGGCTGCTGAAGCAAGTTAAAGAAGTGACCTTAGGAACTCATGCATCGCGGACAATCGCTGTACACAAAATTACCACAACGTTGTCAACATCTCAAACCATCGGGCAGATTGTGCACTGGCTCCAGCGCCCACACCGAAAAACGAAAACGACACCAAAAAGTGTTTACTCTGCCGCAGATTTCATCAAGATGGTGTACGTGTACCGCTCGCGCTACGGCCACATCTACCGCATCTGGTTCGGCCCGCTGTGCTACGTGGGGCTCTCGCAGGCCAAGGACGTGGAGGTAAGTCGCCGAATCGTGGCCGGCCCCGCCGGGATTCGAACCCGTGTGCGATGTAGCGGGGCCGGAATTGGGGTCCCCGGCGGGGGCTTGGCCATCCTCGGGGGCTCATCTGTAGGTTGCCACTGGTGCTTGCCAAAGCAGATAGAGGGATGGCGCGCCATCAAAGTTTCAGGAACGCTACTCAGTGTAAACCCCGGCGCGCCAAACCCCGCCACCGGGCTGCCGTCGGGTTGCCGTCGGGTTGCCACCCCCGTCGGGACAGCCACACGGACCTCGCAAACAGCCAAGGCATCGGGGCGAGCGGGCCAGGCGAGGGTGCTAAGCAGTTTGCTTCTGCATTAAAATTTCATCAGTACGCCATTAGTCAGCACGGGTGCAGGCCGCTTAGGCGAACGGTAAAAGTTGCCGTTTTTATTATTTTCGCGGTGGAGAGCGAGAGGGGAATGGTTCGGCCCCGGACGGGAACAAATTCCCTCCGGCTGCAGCTGTAATTTTGCATCGCTAGATAACGTGTCGGCCGTGGCGGCGCATTTTGGATTCACGGTGTGGGCCCGTCGGCCAGTGGGCCTGGCGGTGCGGGATCGCGATGGGACACGTCCCACCCGTCGGTCCGCCCCGTCCACCCCGTCCGGGCCGGTGCGCCGGAATGGCCCGAGGCGAGATTGAAGACAGCAACAGCGCCTTTGCATCCACGCTTCATTACCGGCTCCAGCCAAATCCGACACAGAAACAAAGCGTTTTTCTCTATTTACTTTTTATTTCAAACAAAAGGCGGCCATTGAAATTTTTAAGGGCAGCTCTCATTAGGGGAAAACTTTGTAAACAACGAGGAATCAAACATTAAACATTAATCCTCCACTGGCTGGGGATTGAGGGGAGCGAGATTCTGAGGGCGCGGCCAGTGGGGCCGAGTGAGGCATGCAGTGCGGAGCCGAGGGCGTTGCACAGGCAGGCGGTGCGACTCGGCGAATCAACAGCTGGGCCGCCCTGCTGCCCCTCGCGAAATATTCCAACGCCCCCGCTCCGAGCGCGATCCAAAGGATGCAAATGAGCACTGCGGACACCCCACCGGGCGGCACCGAGCGGGCTTCTGCGGAACTAATCAGGTCACGATCAACTGGCGATAGCAGAACCACCCACCCACACAATCGCCACCACAATCTCACAGACACACGCACACTTTCGCGCCGCGGCGCGCGCGGCGCTGGCCGGCCGCAGAACCAACATAGCAGTGTGAGATTGCATTTGCGGTCCGGAGTTTGCCTACCTCCCCGGCGCGCGCCGTGTTCCCAGTGATTTTTTTTTTCTAATCGAGTGCGCAGCGGGGCGCGCGCCCCATCCCGCGCGGTCGCGTCGACGGCGCACCCCGCTCCGCCCCATCCTGGCCCAGGCCCCGCCCAGGCCCGGCCGCGTAACAGTGGGGCAGCCAATTCTACAGTGCGCGGCGCGCGGCCCAGAGCGCCTCGTCGGTTTCATTTCAACGGGGAGCAGCGCGGAGCAGCGCGGAGCAGCGCGACTTGGCGGAACGGATTTCCAGAACCGCGGCGGTCTGCGGCGGGCTTCGGGCGCCGGCCGTCCCCCGAGGCCAAGGCAGGCCAAGGGCGCCGCCACGCACTTCCCCCTCGGCGCCCTTGCCCTTCTTTGCCTCCCGGAGAAAGGGAAAGGCGGGGCGGGGCGTGGCGGGGCGTGGCGTGGCGGCGACGCGGCGGCGACGACGGCGACCGCAGCGCCGGCGGCGCCTGGCCCGGGCCGGGACACGCAGTCGTCGCGCCTCGGCCTGACGCAACGCGACGCGACGTGATTTACGCTCATGACCTGTCCCTTTGTTGCAGACCATCATGAGCAGCCAGAAGTTCATCCACAAGAGCCGCGACTACAGCCTCATGCACCCGTGGCTCGGCACCGGCCTGCTCACCAGCACCGGTACGACACGCACTGTCGCGACACTGCCGTGTGCGTGCGCGCGGCCGGCACTGCGGGTCACGTGGGGCCTGCTGCGCGCCGCGCACGATCCAGACGCGGAATGCTGAAAAAATGAATATAATGAAAGCGGAAGGGGCGGCGTCCTTGGCAGTACTGTACAGCCGGCTGCCGCCCTGTCTCTCTCACACTCGCGGGGAGCGCGCCGTCGGAGTGCGAGAGAGACGGAGCGACCGAACGCTGTTCGAGATCGGGCTGCGGGGCCTCGCCTACAGCCTCGCCACGAGCGTCGTTAGGGATGTTCTCGGAAAGCCACTGCACTGTAGCTAGGCCCTTTCCTGCGGTCGCGAGACGGAAAGCTGGCGGCCCTGCAGCCTCCGTTCCGAGAACGAGTACGCTGTTCGGGCAGCATTGCCTTTGATCGCGACGGTAGTTGTTGAGGTCGGCAAGAACAACTTGCGTCGAGTCGTACCTAGCCCAGCGGTTCTCAACCTTTCTCGGCTCGCGACCCCAAATTTGTAGCCAAAAATTTCCGCGACCCCCAGGAAAAGTTTCGCGACCCCACGGGACCCCTCCTTTAGCATGCCACTGCGTCTGATCCGAGGCGGGTATTTTGCTCCCTCAACGGGCAATTGGTCTTTGGACCTTCCTTAAGCATGCCTCTGTTACGAAGTGCGATTATCAGTCTTAGTTTAGGAGCAGTATTGTCTCAAAGTTGGCCAAAACGCTCAGAAATGACTTTAAAAAATCATGTTTTGGGTTGATTTTAAGCAGCCACTGCGTCTGATCCAAGGCGGGCATTTTGCTCCCTCAACGGGCAATTGTTCCTTGGACCTTCCTTTAGCATGCCTCTGTTACGGAATGCGATTATCAGTCTTAGTTTGGGAGCAGTATTGTCTCAAAGTTGGCCAAAATGCTCAGAAATGTCTTTAAAGAATCATGTTTTGGGTCGATTTTAAGCAGCCACTGCGTCTGATCCAAGGCGGGCATTTTGCTCCCTCAACGGGCAATTGGTCTTTGGACCTTCCTTTAGCATGCCTCTGTTACGGAGTGCGATTATCAGTCTTAGTTTGGGAGCAGTATTGTCTCAAAGTTGGCCAAAACGCTCAGAAATGTCTTTAAAAAATCATGTTTTGGGTCGATTTTAAGCAGCCACTGCGTCTGATCCAAGGCGGGCATTTTGCTCCCTCAACGGGCAATTGGTCTTTGGACCTTCCTTTAGCATGCCTCTGTTACGGAATGCGATTATCAGTCTTAGTTTGGGAGCAGTATTGTCTCAAAGTTGACCAAAACAGGCACAACGATTTTTCAAAGACATATCTGAGCGTTTCGGCCAACTTTGAGACAATACTGCTTCCAAACTAAGACTGATAATCACACTCCGTAACAAAGGCATGCTAAAAGAAGGTCCAAAGACCAATTGCCTGTTGAGGGAGCAAAATGCCCGCCTTGGATCAGACGCAGTGGCTGCTTAAAATCGACCCAAAACATGATTTTTTAAAGACATTTCTGAGCGTTTTGGTCAACTTTGAGACAATACTGCTCCCAAACTAAGACTGATAATCGCACTCCGTAACAGAGGCATGCTAAAGGAAGGTCCAAAGACCAATTGCCCGTTGAGGGAGCAAAATGCCCGCCTCGGATCAGACGCAGTGGCTGCTTAAAATCGGACCAAAACACGACCCCAGCTACCTCGCCGCGACCCCTTAAAATTTTTCGCGACCCCACTTGGGGTCGCGACCCTAAGGTTGAGAACCACTGACCTAGCCCGACTGCCGCACGGCGCGTCGCGGTCAGCGTGTGGTGGGAAGCCTACCCTCCTGGTTTAGAATCGAAATCCGGCGCAGGTTCCAAGTGGCAGCACCGCCGCCGCATCATCACCCCCACCTTCCACTTCCGCATCCTGGACCGCTTCATGGACTCGTTCAACCGCAACTCGGACATCATGCTGCAGAGCCTGGCGCGCGAGGACGGCAAGCCCGCCTTCGACGTGCACCACTACCTGTCCCTGTGCACGCTGGACATCATCTGCGGTGAGCCCCACTAGGGCCGGCGGCATAACGCCGGACGTTTATTGGCCCTTATTTCCCTCAAAGGGTCTCGAGTCACTCTGGCTGTGGCCTGCACGAACGGGTTGGGGTCGCCACCGGTGCCTCCACGCAGGACGCATCCATGAATTCGAGTAGACTTGACCTGGGAGAATTCGCCCCCAAATCGTTCATGAAGATGTGAGATGCTCCCCTGAGCCATGCTCGCTGGCGAGCAGCTAGCTGCCACACCCATCCTGGTGATTTAGCAAATTACTTAAAATAAACTTCATTCGTACAAGTTTTCTGCGTGTGAAATTGTACCCAACGCGTTGATTAGCGGGTACAGAGTGGGCGGGTGCTGCGTGTCCATGTCATTCCGAAGTGTATTGGAGCTCAAAGCACGTCCAGAGTGGTTCGCCCAGCAGGGCCGCTCTGCCTGGTTCTGCACGGTAAACCGAATGCCTCGAAAACCGGGAGAGCGCCCCGGTTTTGGGTGCGCTGTCTTTTTCTATCTTGTGGAGAGGGAGTGAGACAGCGCATCCAAAACCGGGGCGCTCTCCTGGTTTTCGAGGCATTCGGTTTACCGTGTGCCGGTGCCAGCGGTGCCCACTAGTGTAGTGCGGCCTCGGCCGTCGGGGGGCAGGGCAGGGCAATAAGGGCTGCTCTGTCCAAACACGTGCCGGCCTGGGCGTCACGCGCCAGCACGGGCAGGGCCGGGCAGGGCCGGGCAAGGCCGTGTTATGCCAGGCCTCGGCCAATCGCCGCGCCACTCTAATACCGCCCGATGTGTTCGCAGAGTGCGCCATGGGGACCCAAGTGCACGCGCAGCTCCAGTCCAAAGAGTCGTCGTACGTGAAGGCAGTCAACAGGTGCGTTGTAGCGGAAGCCCTCGCGCTATCGTGAGCGTGGCGGAGCGTGGGCCTGGCAAGCCCGGGCGCTGCGTCAACACCAATCATCCGCCAACCCTCCGCACGCGCCGCCCGTTCCTTGGTGTTGCAGCATGTGCTGGCTGCTGTACTACCGCGGCGTGCGGCCCTGGCTGCTGCTCGACTTCATCTTCAGCCGGACCGCCAACGGCAAGCTCTTCAACAACAACCTGCGCGCGCTGCACGCCATGTCCCGCGACGTGAGTACCCCGGCACAGGCCGGCGGGGCTTCGGGGTGGGCACAGCCCTGGGCAGGGCCCGGCAGGGCCTCGCCTGCACTGATAAGCCGCTCGGGCGGCCGGACTTCCGGGGCGTCCGGTGCATTGTGCGTGACCAGGCCGGGCCATCGCGCGGCCCCACGGCCAGCACGGCGGAGCAAAACGGCCGCGTTTTTACGGTGACAGCAAGCCAACCGCGGGGCACTGAGGGAAATCATTTTTGTGCTGTTTCTTCCAGGTCATCACGAAGCGCCGGCAGGAGTACCTGGAGGAGAAGGACCGCATCAGGGCGGCGGGGCTCAACGGCGTGGTCGCCAAGGCCGTCATCAGGACCGACTCGGGGGACCTGGCCGCCAAGGTGGAGGCGGCCACCTGGGTCACGCAGGAGGAGGACAACGTCTACGGTGGGGGGCCGCGGAGTGAGAGGCAGGTGACTTGCAGTGCAGGGCGTGGTTTGAACCGAGCTTGGTCCGCGCAGGTAGCAGGAAGCGCAGCGCCTTCCTGGACCACTTGCTGGAGCTGGCCGAGACCGAGAACCTGAGCGACGACGACATCCGCGAGGAGGTGGACACCATCATGTTCGAGGTGGGAACGCGTACCAATCTGGCGTGAATTGTCATTTTTCTAAAGTTCAAAAATATAGTTTCATCCTTTTTTAGGGTTCATATTTCTTCAGTTGCTAAGTTTTCTTCTTTGTCCAGGGCCACGACACGACGGCCGCCTGCCTGAGCTTCGCCGCCTACTCCTTGGCCACGAACCAGCACGTCCAGGTGAGCTGTAAAACCGAAAACATATCAAGACGCCCTTCCTCCCACTCCCTGCTTCCGTGCGCGCTGCCGCTGATGTGTTGTTGGGCCGGGCCGCCCCGCCCCGCCCCGGGCCGCCCTGGGCCCTGGAGGAGGCGAAGGCGAAACACCCCGTCTTTATTATCACAACGGGAGGGGAAGGGGCACTAAGCCGGGGCCGGGGGGCGCTGGGGCACGCAACGCAAGGCTACGCCAGGCTACGCCAGGCCGGCTCCAAGGGCCACGGCCACGGCACGGCCACGGCGTGGGATGAGGATGAGGGCGGATCGGCTTACCCAACATCCTTCCTGCGCGCCGACGGCGGGTAGGCAGCGCCATGGCAGCGCCAGCGCGTGGCAGGTTGGTGGGCTGCCGCGGCGCTGCCTGGCCACCTGCGCCTGGCCGGCAGGCCACCCAAACGACTGTCCGGGCCGACGCGGCGCCTAAAAGACCAGGAAGTTGTGACGGGCGCCGAGCCTCCCAAGGGCCTCGAGGGGCTCAAACTCATCGGGCCAACTCCGTGGCGGACCGTCCCGGAGCGTCCCGCGTGACCCGAATCATCGGCCACACGGGCGGCGAACGAAGCGGATCAGGGCGGCTCTGCTCTGCAGTGGCACAGCAGGGCACAGCCGGGTCGAGCCGCGCACGGCAGCGCAGTGGCTCTGCCGAGGGCTCTGCGGTGCGGGATGGTCTTGACACCGCCTCGCCGCCGTTCGCCGCCAACCACAACCACCGTCACCTCCACTTGCGGCCGCGCGGCCCGCCTTGGAGACTAGCGACTTTGTTGTTCATGTTCAGGACAAGCTGCACGACGAGCTGCAGCGCATTTTCGGCGACTCGGACCGCGACGCCACGTTCCACGACCTGGCCGAGATGAAGTACCTGGAGCGGGTCATCAAGGAGACCCTGCGGCTGTACCCCAGCGTGCCGCTGTTCTGGCGAGACATCCGCGAGGAGGTGACGCTCGGCAGTGAGTATGGCGAGGTGTTTCTCGAGTTGAGGCGGTGCGGGCGCAGCTCTGACGCAGAGGTGTTTCTGCCGCAGGCGGCTACACACTGCCCAAGGGATCCACCGTCGCGCTCAACATGTTCATGCTGGGGAGGAACCCGGACGCCTTCGACGACCCCGAGCTGTTCGACCCGGACCGCTTCCTGGCCGAGAACTGGCACGGCAAGCACCCCTTCGACTACACACCCTTCTCCGCGGGCCCCAGGAACTGCGTCGGTGAGTGGCGAGGCGCGCGGCGTGGCGGGGCGTGGCGGCGCCGCCCAAGCCGAAAGCCGCGAAAGCCCGTCTAAAAGGGGTTCTTGGTCCATTCCAGGTCAAAAGTTCGCCATGCTGGAGCTCAAGGTAGTCCTGTCCAAGCTGGTCCGCAACTACCGCCTGCTGCCGCCGCCGCAGCGCTTCTCGCTGGACCTGGCCGTCGAGGTGGTGCTCAAGTCGCGGTCGGGCGTCATGCTGCGGGTGGAGCGGCGCCACCGGAAGGCAGCGGCGCGCCCGCACGCCCAGCCCGCCTTCACGAGCGGCATGGGGCCCAGGAGCACGGCCTGAGCCGCGCCGCAGCGTTCGTTGGATCTCCGAGACATTGTGATGTTCATAGGCTAGGCAACGCGAGAGAGTACTGAGACAGAGTGAAGGCCTTCATCGTAAAATAAGTAGGACATAAGTTGCATTACCCGTGTCGTTGCGTTAAGGAGCACACACACTTACCTAGTTAGGATTATTTTTACTGTCACTTTTTAAGATCAATAAAGTTACCGTTCGCGCGAACAACGACCAACTTTATATCGTCGTTTCAACTGTCCCCGAAACCCAGCCTTGCGTCACAGCAGCACATCAAACTTTACAGATAAATAAATAAATAAAACGAGAAAGGCGGGACTGAGAGTCACTTCTTTTCCGGAGTTGAAGAGATCCCTGTGCGACAAGTTGCAAGTCGAAGCAGAGGCCACGGCCGTTCGACTCATCGCCCGGTCAGCCCCCTCCTCCCTCGCTGCGCTCGGAAGGCCAACTCGGGCGCAACAAAACCGCCTCGCGTCTTAAAACTCGGTGGCGAATACACGAAATGCGACGAACGGAATGATTGAATGAATGAATGAATGAATGAATGAATGAATGAATGAATGAATGAATGAATGAATGAATGAATGAATGAATGAATGAATGAATGAATGAATGAATTTGTAGGTGGATGGATGGGTGCATGAATAAGCGATTGAATGAAAGACTAAACGCGGCAACGAATGAACGGATGAATGACGGGCGAATGAGTGGATGACTGAACGGTTTGAGCGCAGGGGGCGCTTGGTCCTTCCGAAAAGCAGGAAGTGTTTGTTTGGCGCGCTCCTCACGTTCGGCGCGTTCGGCCCGCCCCCTCCAATTGTCGCCGCCACGCCGCGCGGCTCGGCGTGACGGGGCGGGGCGCGGCGGGTCGGGGCGGCATTAGCACCGGAGTCAAGAGTCAATGCCAAGGTCATCGCGAGTCAACGCGCCGAACCGCAAACGCAATGTGGGCCACGACGCGAGGTAGTGAGTGAGGCAGAGGCAGCGAAGCACGCCGTACCCTGCCTCACGCGACCCACCCAGCTCCTGGGATTTCCCTAGTCTGTCTGTCTGTCTGTCTGTCCGTCCGTGCTGTGTCGGCGCGGCGCCGTCTTTGTCTCGCTGGCTGTAGGCCGACTGTCCGATGTTCCCTGCCCCAAGGCGCCCCACGGCGCCCCACGGCCTGCCCCATAACGAATTCATACCACTCGGGGCGACAAAGAGCTTGGGATATGAGGCTGCCTGCCTGCCGGGCTGCCTGCCGGCCTGCCTGCCGGGCTGCCAGGCCCGCGGCCCGCAACGCACTCGCCCGGATTATGCGACCAACACTTTGACCCGAGACGAAGGGCCTAATCTTGGTCCCATCCATCAAGCCACTCCACTTGCGGCGGTGTCGCTACGCAGGGCTACGCATCCCTGTGATGTACGACGGCCCGCAATAATTACTCAGCCCGCACCGCGGGGCTCCGCGGGGCTGGGACGGCGCGCCCCGCCGATGACGGGGCGCCGTCCAAGGTCGCTTACCTGGTCCTGAAGAAGCCCCCCGAGTCCGGCGAGTCGGTGTCGGCGGACAGCGACATGGGCCAGGCGATCTGCAGCAGCGAGTCCCGGATGATGACGTCCCACGCGAAGTGCGGCGACGGCGGCTCGTGCACGCGCTCGGAGCGCACCAGCCGGCCGCGGCGCCGCGACAGCCGCCCCGCGCACCCTTCCATCTCGCCCAGCAGGGTGCGCGAGCGACGGATGCCGGACGACGAGGACGCCGACGACGACGCCCGGTTGGGCGACAGCAGCCGCACCCCGGACAGCGCCAGGGGCTTGTTCGGCCGCGTCGGGGACACCCCGGGCCGGGGGACGGGGGAGGAGGGGGAGGGGGACGGGGAGGGGCTTGGGGACGCCGTGGTGCCTCAGCGGGGGGACGCGGGGCGAGGGGAGACGCGGCGCGGGGCGCTGGCGGAGGTCGGCGACGGCCCGCGGGGGTGCACCACGGACATGGCGACGACGACCTGCAGCAGACAAAAGACAGAGCGACCGTCAGACCACGTGTTCATCAACAAGAATTCGTCAGTGAGGACGGACCACTCTGGGCCTGCTCGTGGTTTCAACCACAGGAGCAGCAACTCGTCGGCCTAGTCGCAGATAAAAAATTCCAATGCTAATCGCATTGCAAGGTGTTCCCATTTTCATAACTGGTTTAAAAGAAAGATATGAAACACCAATAAAAAGGAGTTCTGGTCAAACCTGATAAGGGTTGGTAAGAGCCACTGCACCTAATCTAAGGCGGCTAATCGTTCTCCCTCACGGATGGGTACTCTTTGGGCCTTCCTTTACAACACCTTTGTTACGGAAAGCGATTAGCCGCCTTAGTTTGGGAGCAGTATTGCAGCAAAGTTTGTCGAAACGGTAACAAATGTGTAGAAATCGTGGTTTGGCCTGACTTTAGGCAGCCACTGCATCTGATCTAAGGCGGCTAATCGTTCTCCCGCAACGGGTGGGTACTCTTTGGGCCTTCCTTAAGAACACCATTGTTACGGAGTGCGATTAGCCGCCTTAGTTTGGGAGCAGTATTGCAGTAAAGTTTGTCGAAACGGTAACAAATGTGTAGAAATCGTCGTTTTGGCTGACTTTAGGCAGCCACTGTGTCTAATCTAAGGCGACAAATCGCTCTCCCTCAACGGGTGGGTACTCTTTGGGCCTTCCTTAAGGACACCTTTGTCACGGAGTGCGATTAGCCGCCTTAGTTTGGGAGCAGTATTGCAGCAAAGTTTGTCAAAACGGTAACAAATGTGTAGAAATCGTGTCTTGGCCTGACTTTAGGCAGTCACCGCATGAGGCCAGGGGGTGGAAACAGGGCTGATTTGGCGGGCCTTGGCTGCGGCGATGCGTGCACGGCCGTTTTTGCCGTTTTCACCACTTTACCGCGTTAGTTGGTAAACCACTTTCCAGCTGAAGTAGTCGTCTTAACGACAAAACTCCAACGCGTACTTAAAGAGTAAGGTTAAAGGATCAGCAAATAAGCTCCTTGGGCCGAATTGATACTTACAAAATGAGATATTCACATTTTTGTAACTTGTTTACATTTTTTTCGGCGTTTTCAGGCCAGAATCGCCGCGCCCGAACGCGGATGAGCCATTTAAAACAAGTTACAAACATGTCCATGACTCGTCCTGTGGGTTTCAAATCTTCAAAACGGGCTTATTTTCTCGAAGAGACAACATTACTCTAGAAGTACACGTACAGGATTTGTGCATAAGATATCTACTTTAGCTAGAAAGTGGGTTTCTAGGAACCACAAAAAAACAACAAACAACGGCCGTGCACGCATCGCCGCAGCCATGGCCCGCCAAATCAGCGCCGTTTCCACCCCCTGATGAGGCACGCGCGTCATACACAGCAGCTTGCAGACCGTCATCCGCTCGCCGCTCGGGGAACCCCGCGGCGGCAGCCTGCAGCAGGGGGACCACCTCCTTGTGCTGCTCGGGGAGCGTCGTCCTCGGCCGTGTTTACCGGGGCCCTCGGTCCTCCCAGGACTTTCAGGAGGAAAGTTGGGGAGGAAAATCAGTGTCATTCTGCGAATGGGGCCCGTGCCGGCCCGCCCGTCCTTGATAAGACAGTTCGACGCACCACTCTAAGCGGCGCTCTTCAGAGGAACGAGGAAAACGCATCGTACTATTTTCAGCCGAGCGCGACAGTTATCTGTTTGCTTCCAGATTGCGATGAAAAGATTTAAAAAAAAATTGCACTCCGCAGTAATTTTACGTTCTATTGCACCAATAACCACAACTCCCGTGATAATCGACTGAAATAATACTGAGAGGTAATAAAAAGGGCGACAGGAGAAAGGCAGCGCATGATACATTTATCTCAATAAATGTGGTACAATGAAGCGTTATCGCAATCGCAAGGTGTGTACCATCTACTGTCTAGTGTGTACATTCCAATTTGCACTTGACTGGGGTCAGTGCGCAAGGTTATCGGGCTGCCGCCAAAACAGGAAAACGGACTCTCAGCGCGCAAGCGGGCGGTGGCCGGGCGTGGCCGGGCGTGGCAAGGGGGTTCCCCTGTCGTCCAGCCCGGCCCCTTTTATAACGGCGGGCGCGCGGCCCCAGGCATCGCACTCCACCAGCGCACTCTCACCACCATGAAGCTCCTCCTCGTCGTCGCCGTGCTCGTGCTGGCCGCCCTGGCGGCGTGGGGCCCGGCCGAGGCCGCCGACGAACTCCCTGCCGTGCAAAGCGTCGCAGCCACCGGGCCAGGTAAGCTTCAGTTGTACACCCCATTCCTTTTTTCGCCGTTAATGAAGTGGTATGGTGTTGGTGTACCTGATGCAACTCGCGTCGCGTTTCTTCGACTGCTGTGCCTCTCACCACGCCCTCCCCTCCGCAGGCGAGGACGCCCAGGGCGTCCAGGACCCCCTCCGCGCGCTGCTCCGCGTCCGCCGCGGCCCCCCCAAGTGCAACCCCTCGGAGTGCTCCAGGCGCGGGCCCAACTGCAGGTGCCAAATGGACATCATCTGCTACTGCCAGCGCCAGTAGGCTGGAAAGCTCCTGTGCAGTGATTGCAACTTTCCGATTCCTTGGCAAGGGACATCCTGATACATGTATTCGAAAGGAAGCTGTGATTCTATCCTAACACTATAATAATCACGTGATTTATGTAATACGAATAATGTTATAATTAAACTTTCCTTAATCATAATTATCGTTTTTCTCCAGACAATTCCGACTCCCCCCCCCACACACACACACACACACAAACAACCACACACTCGTGACTGAGCCACGCCGCCCCGGTCCCCGAGCGCGACTTATTTCCGAACTTGGCCGAGGGCGCTTCGTAAACTGGAACTACGGTGCCGCCGGGGTCCCTCGCCGCCCTGGCGGGGGACCCGCGCGCGATACACTAACACACTTGCGCTCGGACGTGCCGACAATTTTTCATACTTCAGAAGTGCCAGTGATGAGACGCTGCCGCTAATGAGGCTGAGGCGCTCCCTCACGCACAAACACAAACACACACACACACACACACACACACACTTGATCGAAAAACTAACTTTGGCGCCGGGGAAGGCGGGCGCAGGCAAGCGACGACCCCGTGACCCGTGCGGGACTCGAGCAACGCCGCCAAGACCAAGAAGACCAAGAAGAGCGAGAACAAAGCAAATTGAGTCGTTGGCGCGGCACCGACGACGAGGGGGCGGGCGGACTACCTCATCTCCATCCGGCGTGAGGAACAAAACG